TCTCTCTCTCTCTCTCTCTCTCTCTCTCTCTCTCTCTCTCTCTCTCTCAGACACACGCATACACACACACACAACACAACTGCTAAAACGGCAACCCCCCCCCAATAGAACGTACGTACATTATGGGTGTATGTAGACAGAAAGTTGCTTCAAAAGATAACAGCCATAATGGTGGTGCATTCTCTTCAAGGGACTGGAGAAGGCCGTTGTCGGCCTCAAACGGCTAGGGGCCAGAATGCAAAGATGACCCGGGCTGACAGGAGTAAAACGGAAATAAAATAGGGCCTGGGAAAAGTTGGCAACTACCGGGACATTTTGCAAAGATGGACAGTGATTACTGAGCAACGTGTGTTTTAGGGCATCGTGCACGGATGGCCTCGAACCGGCACCCTCCTGCACAGGAACGAAGTATCATAACCACTACAACCCTTGGAGGTGTTATAAAAACTGGATCCATACCAGTCATGATATCCAGCCCACCTCCAGGGCTGTAGCGTCCTTGAACTCACACCACACACAAACACCACACCACGGACTTGACAGTCCACGCACACTCCGTTTGGACAGCACGCAGCCGACCACCGCTACTTAACCCAGTCACACACAACGGGCCAACTTCCCGTGGGTTCCACAGGCGCCTCATAGTGGACAGTACCCAGTAGGGTATTTTGCAAAGATGGTGGGTCCAACAGACGCCAGGGGCATTTCACAAAACATTTTTTGCATCAGAGGGGTATTATGCTCTACGCACATCTTTTAGGTGCATTTTGGGATAAATCTCAACTTATAGGGGTATTTCGCAAATTATGCCGTTTTAAAAATGTAAGAACAGACCAAAAAATATATATGTGGGGTTTTAGAGCACAAACTGCTCGCCAACCCCTATTTAATTTTATTTTGTCCTTCTTTTTGGTAACTTTGGCAAGTTAGTACAGCCGTCGTACGAACTGTCGTTCACACGTTCGAACGGCCGTTCGTACGACCGTATGCAAGAACCCCTGTACGACGTACGGTAGTATTCACAGCATCAGACCACTCGGCTGTTATAGCATGCTACCCAGTGGGGAACATTGAAGTAGGCCACCCAGTGCACACCCCAACAAAAGTAAAGAGTTTCACCCAATGGTAACCCAGTTCTGGGAGGACTGCATGAGGGACATCTCGCCGTACGGTGTCGAGCGCATCGGTCCCGCGCAGTGCGGGACCCTCCCGGCCGCGTCACGTAGGAGTTGGTCTACTCGTGATACACAAGGAGCTTCCGCAAGCCGCTCCGGCCGAGTGTGCCATCCATACCTCTCACAAGCCCCTACGACAGAATAGGGCCAATGCGAGGTACAACTTACCTTCACCTGCGGGAGCTGTAAACTCCCTTTGGTGGGCTTATCCCCGCCGAGCTACCAGTCCACAGTACGAAAGCTAACCAGTTGCAATCGCAGAGGTGGACCAGCCGAGGGCGTTTCTCGTTCGCAGTAGCATAAGGGGTACGTGTGGTCCCATGCCTCTATCGGACCCACACGAGAATTGACGCACGGGGGGGCTGAAGTCCCAAGCGCGACTCGTCGTCGGTCGACTAGGACGCATCCCACTCACCAAGCGTTACACCACACTTAAAACATAAAAATAAAACACACACACACACGGAACGACACAAAACAAAACAACACAACAACACTCCTAGTCCCTTTTCGTAGACATCCCATAACCTTTCGCTGCGGAAATTGGATAGGCGACACGCGCGAGACTTAGTATAAAACCGCACGGACGCAGACCTTCTCATATCGACCAGCAATGCAAACATATGCAAGCAGTCGCAGTGATGGCGTACTATGTAGTACCCATAATCACGCGGTCGTTGATAATTTCAAGGGTCGCGTTTGGTACTCAAGTGCTGGTTGACACCCGCCTTTGACGCTGGACAACCGTTAAGTGCGGTTGAGGACCGCACCCTCTTCTGCACCCTGCGGAGAGTGGGTGGTACACAAATTCAT